AGTCGGTCACACGTAGCCCTGCTGTCTTCCCACTGACAACTCTAGCCAACACAGTCCGTGGGAGTGTCAAGGACTCATAGGGTTCTAAGACACCTGTGTCTCCTTTCTGGCTCGTTCTCAGTGTTCCTGTTCTGAGCAGAGTTAGATGGGAGACAAACAACTTGAAGAGAGGCCCACAGCAGAATCAGGGGCAAGCCTGCTGAGACGGTGTCTTGCATTCTGCCACTTAGAAGCCCTCACCGAGCACCCGCTGACCCACCTTCTCTCTCACTCACCACCCACTGGGGAAGTAACAAGCAACCATAGGTTAAATTATGACTTGGAAGCGAGAGAAAACCAACTTTCCTCTTCATGTAAATAAGCAAATAAATGACAACTCTCATGTCAGTGTCTTGTGGAGAGTGAGCATCAAACCTCAGCCAAGCTCAGCTGGTAAGTTTTCATCGCCATTTGCTGGGTCTGAATGTTTCTCAACTCTGCCCATTGATGAAGTGCAGGTCATTTTAAAGAAGTGCGTCTCCAGAGGGAGAATGGCCCCTGAAGGGGGCGTGGATCACTGGTTGAGGTAGGGGTCTCTGTTTCACACCAATTTCATCAGCTCTGCTGGCTGATAAGAAAGCTTTTTCTTTCTTTCTCCTTTGCTGTTTTAGTTTAGAAGAATGAGGGGACAGTTAATGGAGAAGGATGACAACATTTTTAGAGAAGCTTGTGAACAGAGAGCTAGGGATCAGACGCAAACAGTGCACTGTGCCTTTACACAGTCTTAGTTAACAGGACTCTACTTCCCTTTTAAAATGGATGGGAAGTGCCCTAACCGGTTTGGCTCAGTGGATAGAGTGGGTTTGATTCAGGTCAAGGGCAAGTACCTCAGGTGCAGGTCAGGCTTGTGAAGGAGGCACTTACTGTGTTTTTCTCACATCGATATTTCTCTCTGTCGTTCCCTCTCTCTTCCACTTTCTCTAAAAATTCTCAGGTGAGGATTGGAAAAATAATAACAACAATAAAAATAAAATAGATGGGAAGTGGCATTAGCAAAAGAGTAAACTATAATACAACACAGTTTTCAGCAGCAGTAAATTTTCCTAACACAAAGCCAGCTTTCCAGGGCATTCCCTGACAGCCTACCCCACTCCACATTGGTTCAGGGTCCCTTGTATATTTTTCCAGAGAGTCCTGTGTTTTAATCCACTCCACAGCACGTATTACCTTTAATGTATCTGCTCCCTCTATGACCTCCTTGAGAAGGGGGTCATGTCATTAATGTCTGGCACGTGGGGGTGCTCAGTATTTGATGAATGGTGTGGATTGGTTGATGGACATAGAGACCCTTAGATTCCATGGTTCTTCTCCTATTCTTATTTCTTATCTTCTGGACCAAAATGTAAACATCCTTGAATAAAAGATGCCACCCCTGTGTTTTTGGCTTTGGTTTGTTAGAGAGTTCTATACTCATAAGAGACTGAAGAGGAAGTTAGAGGCTACATTTAGATCTGGTTAGAAGTCCACTAGCTTCCCAAGCAAACACTATAAACCAATGATTTTCAACCTTTTTCATCTCATGGCACACATAAGCTAATTACTAAAATTCTCTCTATATAGAGAGAATTATATCTAATTTTGGTCAAAATTATATCAGGCTCATGAAGGAGGCCCTCAATCAATGTGTTTCTCTCACATCAATATTTCTCTCTGTCTTTCCCTCTCTCTTCCACTCTCTCTAAAAATCCTCAGGTGAGGATTGGAAAAATAATAACAATAATAAAAATAAAATAGATGGGAAGTGGCATTAGCAGAAGAGTAGACTACACTACTACACAGTTCTCAGCAGCAGTAAATTTTCCTAACACAAGGCCAATCTGACCAAAAATAGATATAATTTTGACTCATTCACACCAGATGACTTTTGTTGTGTTGGCTGTTGTCATTTTTTTAATTTGACAATCTAAGAGAAAAGAGGTCAGTGCCCCTGACTAAATAGTCAGGTATTGCATGTTTTAAAAATTCTTGCAGCACACTAGTTGAAAGTCACTGCTATAGACCTTGCCTCTGTTAAAAGGTATACCTGAGATAGGTGACATTTGCTGCTTATCAATCCCTTCCCTTAGTGAATGCACAGGAAAAATCTGTGAAAGTTAAGATTGAACAGGGCATAATCGTCTTACATATAATGATCTGGCACCCAGAGGGGTCTAGTCACTTGCCCAAAGTTACGCAACTAGTTGCGACAGAACCTGAACCACACCACCTTCTTCTGGCTTCCAGTAGTTTAGCCTTGCTGTGCCTCCAAAAACTTCTTGGGGAATCTGCAAGTGACTGTCCTCCTTCATTCATTCACCCAACATTTATGCAACACCTGCTAAGAATCAAGCAGCATGCTGGAGCCTGTGGATGGGATGATGACAAGTAACAATTCCTGCCTGCAGAGGCTTTCTATTCTGACCTGCACCTAGGAAGGCCCCAGGTGTCTGCACCTTACATCCGACTTCCCTGCAGCCGCTTTGTAACCCAGCACTCCGGCTCCAGCTCCTCCTGGGCCTGGTGGACTCCAGCCCCAGCCCCTCCCACCTACCCTGGATCTTGTTGCTACTCTTGCCATGAACCAACCATGCCAGAAAGTCATCCTGATGATTTCAGAACTGCATTGTGATTTATGCAAAGCAAGAGGATAATTACAGGCGGGAGGGCAGACGCAGTAGAACAGGCTGTTGGTGTGTGCCTTTTGCCAGGGCTGGATGGTGTGTGTGTGTGTGTGTGTGTGTGTGTGTGTGTGTGTGTTTATATATTGAGAGGACTTCTTGACATTCTGCTTGATTAGGGGCTGGTAACAGGAGAAGGAGGGAACATTGCCATTTTGATTGGGAGACAATCAGGTGAGCCTCATGAGTATTTCCCAAAAGTTTTGATGCCTACAAATACACCAGCAGGATGAAAGTGTTAGGGAGTTTGAACCCTGGGAAGCCAGTCCTCCTACCTGCAAACCCTGCAGGCACTGAGAAGGGGCGTCTAGGTCTCCTCACCACAGAAGTCTCAACTTTCCCCCACCCAGGTCTACTCTTTGACACCAGCCTTCTGCTTCAGATAAATTACTTGGACTTTTGAAGCTTTTTGTACTTACCCCCCCACACACACACCCACACACACACCCCACCCCCGCGTCCACTTGAGGCAGGTGGTGGCAGCAAGTGGATTCCTGGCTGGAAACCAGAACCCCAGGCTGCAAGCCCCAGCCTGGCACAGCAGTAACTGGGTCTTTACAACCTCGCCCATAAATAACTTCTCGTTCTGAGCACGGAGTTCGAGTTTGCACTATGTCGCTGGCGGGACTCGCTGCTCAAGCGTCCGCCAACTTGGCTGTCAAAAAATGTTGATTTCTTGTCCTGCCGCCTACAACAAAAACAGAAACAAAAAACCCTCAGTTTGTGGTTTTGCCCCCACGGTTTCCTAATCTTACCCCAACTTGAAAAACCGAGGGTGGGTAAGTTAGGAGATAGTCGTCCCCTTCCCGGTCTTTCCGGAGGTCCCCAGCCCCCAGCCCCGGTTGCTGCGGGACCCTAGAGAGGGCAGCGGGCTCTGAGGCGTGCGGTGCACGGGCCGCGCTCCAGGCCCAGCCTGGCCGCTGCAGAAGTTGCTGTCACGCGCTGCGGCCCGGACTGGAGGGTCCGGCTGCATCCCAGAAACCGAGGCGCTGATGCGCCCGCTTAGGGCTGGGCCGGGGAAGGGCGGTGGGACTCGCGAAAGCACTCATTGTACACTGACTATGACCCAAAGCCCGGTTTGACTCTGAGTCTGAAGAACGTGGGGTAGGGGTTGGGCAGGGAGGATTGCAGAGTGCTGGCCTGGGTTCTCACCCCCCCCCCCCACACACACACCCTAACCACCCCCCCCCCCCCAGCTCCCCAACCTGCGGCGAAGGGCTGGAAAGCTGGAGGTGTGATCCCTGACCTGTGCCCGGGCCTACGCCGGGAGGAAAGGCTGGCCCTTGTTGGACAAGTTCAAGCCGCTGGGAGAGCTTAAATAAGAAGTAATCTCCTCGAGATCGGGAGTCGCCGGCCCCCTTGGCGCGCTCTCCCAGTAAGTAGAGCTGCGCGGGGCACAGCAGCAGGAGCACCGGCATCGCGGGGGGGGGGGGGGGGGAGCGTGCGGAGGCGGGAAAGCGCTTCGGAACCCTCCGGCCTGGAGAGGAGGGCCAGCCTAGCCGGCTCGGAGGCGAGCTGCGGGAGGGAGCTGTGCCCTCTGCCGCTCCAGTGCAGGCAGTGGGCGCGCCGGCAGTTTCGCTCTGCTCGGCCTGGGACGCGCTTTGCTTTGGGGAGCGGGCGGCACCTTCCTCCACGGAGGCTGGCGCCCACGCGGACCTCGCCAAGTCCGCTTTGGGAAACGCGGAGCCTCGGCAGACCCCATGGCAGACCTCCAGTCCCCACACCGCGTCCTGAGCTACAACCTTCCCTAGATAGTTGCAAATGAATGAGTACTCACCTCGGGCCAGATCCAAGTTTTACCCAACGGAAAGGGCGCGGGACCAAGAATGAACCCACTTCCATGGCTACATCCGGCACGCACACTCACACTCACACACGGTCACCTCGTTTCCTCCACGGGTTTGTCTGGAACGCTGGAGAGAAGGGGGAAAGCGTTTTGAGAAAGCTCCGTCTCCCCTCCCTTTCACTCTTGCCATGAAATACAATGATTCATTTTTGTTACCAGCGCAGCACTGTCCTCCCCACCACGCACACACAGAGCCACACTCTCATATTCACACTCACTCTCAGCTCCCAGAGCGCCTGCATTTTCTTTGGGAGCCGCTGGGAGGTTCATTAATATCATTAGCATTTAACCCCCTCCCTCTCCCCATCCCCTCCCCGCACATGGCTGACGTCAGACCCCGCCAGGAGTTGGGGGAAAAGCTAAGTGGGCCGGGGACGCCCTATTCCCCTCCCCGCGGCTGCCTGTCAGAGAGCTTCTGGAGATATTACCGGGGACCCAGTCCGCCGCGACAGGCACAAAGTCACGGGGTAATGAACTTCGGGGACCCCGTGCGGCTGCGAGCGCGGCTCTCCCCGGAAACCAGGAGCTGGCCGCGCGTTCCTTCGGAAGACTCCCCAGCAATCTAGCGGTCCCCCTGGGCGCTTGGCTCTGCCCGGAGACTGCGGTTGTTTTCCTTCTGTCCTTAGAAGACCCGCAGTCTGCAAAGGGCTGTCCGCACTCTGCATGCCTAACGCAGAGGGAGAAATTGAAGACGGAGAGACCGGAATGGAGGAAGAGAGGAATTTGGCCCTTTTGGCTCCGTAGGAAGACCCTTTTCGTGTGTCTCCATTTCTGTCCTTCAGTACCCCTCTCTTGTTCTCCCTTCTTCCTCTGCCTGCCCCTCCGTCTCCGCATTTGTCTGTCCACGCGTGTGTCCATACCAGGCAACATTCCCCAAAGCTGCGGTTTTGCAAGAGCCGGGAAGAAACTTCGGGATGCTGACATTTCCACGGCGGAACGAATTCTGAGCCCCTCCAAGCCCCACCCCGGGGAGCGGCGCGCGCCGACACCCACCTGTCCGGCCGGGAGCCTCGCAGGCTGGAGGGCGGCTGGAGAGCGGTGGAGCCGGGCGGCGAGGCGGGCGCTGTCGGCCGGGACTCGAGCGGCGCCCACCAGCCGCTCCGCCCCGGGACCGCCAGCATGAGCAAGCCGGCCGGATCAACAAGTGGGTACCTTTCGGTCGGCTGCTGGGTTCAGGCGCGCTGCCTGGGGCGGGCGGGGAGGCCTGGGCGAGGCTGCCCCGGGAACAGCGACTGGGAGCCGGGAGAGGTACTCCACTGGCGCGTGTGCTTTGGCTCAGCTTCTGGTAGCCCGCGAGTCGGAGCGTTTGGTGGTGAGGGAAGAACAATTTGTTACCTCTGACTCTCTTGGTCACCCCTTCTTTCCGGTGAGGTGGGAAGGTTGCAACCCATGCAGCCAGCCCACCAGTCCCGCGAGTTCCCTCCACTAATCACTTATCCCCAGGTGCGGGGAGGAGGGGGCGCTGGGGGCGGGAGCTAGGCCTCAGCCCGGGGCGGCGGCACCAGAATACGCTCGCTCCAAACTCCCAGCTCCGGCAAGGCGCGCAGAAGCAACTCCGCGAAAAGCGGATTTTGAATGGAATGCTTTGCACCCCGTTTCTAGCTATTGCAAATAATCCTGCGAACTGGGAAGCAGAAACCATTTAAAAGTCACATTTTCCTTAATCCTAAATCCGCATAGGTCATGACTGGGGAATCTAAAGTATGGCGAACCGCTCTAGCAGAGAGGGGACCAAATCCCTAAACCCAAGGACTTTTCGAGCGGGAGCTCCACAGAGGAGGAGTGTGCGGCCTGCTCCCTTCGCGCGGTTTTCTCCTTTAAACTTGCTTAGCTGGCGGCTGCCCCTCGCCAGCCAGGCCGAGGCGGATATCCAGCCGCCCCTGCACCACGGCCTAGTGCAGGGCGAGGTGGAAGTTGCAGGGCCTTCGCGTGCACCCAGCCTGCGGAGCCGAGGACGTGCAGGCCCGAGCCCCTGTTGGGCGGGCGCGGCCCCACTGCTGGGATCTCCCCGGGCGTTTCAGTTCCCGCCTTCCGGTGGCCCGGGTGCCCTATCCTGGGTCCCAGGCTGGGGGTGACGCTGCTGCCGTCCGCAGGTTCCGGAGTTCGGCCCTGGCTGCTTTCACCTACAGCGTATTTGGTGACTTGTGCTTTCCTCCGCGCGGCCCCCGCCTCTCCCCTCCCTGGCCCTCGTTATCTGATCGGAGCCTGAAAGTTGGCAGAGAACTGAGAGCGAAGTCCCACTTCAGTGGGCTGCAACTCCTGCCCGTCCCACATGCCTTGTGTTTCCACTTTGTCTGATGGTTTTGGCCTGGGTGCTGCTGCCCTTTTAAAAATCAGAGCGAAATGAACGTGAACAAAAAGAGAAAAGGAGACACGTTTAGATCCTGCAAACTGGGAAGAGAGAAGGAGCCTTAACCGCGGTCTGCATCCGAGCCCGCACTGCAGGGCTGGCCTGCTCTGGCCTGGCTGTTGGGGACCTTGTGGGAGGGGGAGCGAGCTCGTTCTTTGTGGCCTGTGTTCCCGTGTGCAGGGTCCCGCTCAGGAGGTTCGGAGAGAGACCTCTCCTGCGCACTCCCAGCCTCACTGCCAAAACCCACGCCCGCGGGCCCTGCAGGCCTCCTGCTCACTCACCCTGACAGGCGCCCTCGCCGCCTTCCCTGGAAGTAAGGAGTCTCGGACTCTTGCACCCACTTGGGGGTCCAGAGCCGCCATGGTTGGGGGGTGTTTGTGAAAGGTGAGGCCTCGGAGGCGAGAGAGGGAGCGGACACGAGGCCCTTTCGCTGAGGACCAGCCCGCGTGCTAAGGACTAGGACGCCTTGGTTCACCCCCCCACCCCCCACCCCCGCCCCTAGGCTTTTAGAAAAAAGTGTGATCGTCGGGAAAACTTTGGACCTTTCCAACTGTCCGAAAGCTTGAGTTTGGCCACGGAAGCCTGGAGCCCCTGCGCAGTTCCAGCCTTCACTACTGGGGTTTCTCAGGTCCGCAGGCCCCAGGCCCCCGGCCAACGCGCTGCTGCAGCTGGGCTCTGCCAGGGCGGAGGCTGCCCGGCCGGCACCCGCAGCCCGTGCGCCGGGTCGGCGAGGAGGCCCGCGCAGCTGGGAGGTCCCGGCCTGCCGGGCCTCGAGGTCTGGAGCCCTCGCCCTGCTCGGCCGTGCGCGGCTGGAGAGCAGAGCGCTGTCCGCCGGGAGCCCCGCCTGGGTGGTAGCGAGACCCCAGCCAGTCACCCCTGCAGCCCAGACTAACTTCTTTCAACAACCTGTGATGGTAATTACAGTAATCGAAGCTGCCATATAATCTCTAGGCAATTGTGATGCACAAAAAGCCCCGAGGGGACCCCTGGCGAGGGGAGTGAAGGACGGTTTTCCAGCCCCAGGAAACTCCCGCTTGCTCACGTCGGAGCTCGCTCGGCTTATTCCGTGAGGAGCTTTGCAACGGGCTCAACCAGCTTGTCTCGTGACCCCAAGTCACCTTAACGTGGCTGGGCAGCGGGGTCTAAGGCGCAGGCCCGCCGGGCCCTGGAATTTTTGCATTCCTCCCTCCGGCGCCCCGCCCCAGGCGGGTAGCAGGTCTCCCATCTGCCCCAGTCCAGGCAAAGGCCCGGCCTCCCCGCAGCCGCCGTGGCCACGGGGGGGGGGTGCTGGTCCAGGAGCCCCGCCCGCGGGAGCCGGGTGCTTCCTCCCCACTTCGGGGTCCTCTGGGGATGTGGCCCTGGCCTCCTCTGGATGGGAAGCAGGGACAGGAACCCCATCCCTGCTTCTTCCGTGCGCGGGCGCGCTCATCTGGGAGTCTTCTAAAGTGCCCCGGGGACAAGAGGACAGCTGGGGCGACGGGAACCCGAGCGTGGACCCCAGCTGAGGCAGAGGGCTGAGTTGTGCACAAGAGGTTGGCTGCAAATGATGGAAACCAAATCTACTGCCTCCAGACTGCGGGCGGTGCAGCTGAGCGCGAGTCCCTGCTGGGTGGCCGTGAGCTTCCTTGGGCGCAGTGACAAGACGGAGGGGTGAGGGACAAGCCCCGCTGCGGTCGCCCCGCGCTCTCTCCAGCCCCTCCCCCTGCACAGCCTCTCCCCCCACCCTGCGGGGGAGTGGGGGGGATGCCCAGGCGGTGGTCGCCGCGCCGCGCGCCTCCCCGCCGGCCTTTGTCACCACCCGAATTCCCATGCTACTCTTTTTGACGGGTCACTGGTGGCTCTATAGGCAGGTGCTTCGGCGGGGTTGTAATTACCCCGACCCCCTCCCCCGCGGGCCGCCCGCGCCCTCCCTCCACTCCCCCTTCCTTCCACCCCGGCCCCCAGCCGCCACTCCGCCAAGGCCACCGCGCGGGGTGCCCGTCCGACTGGACGCGCGGAATCCACCAGCAAGTTCCCCCTCCGACGGCTCAGAGGCGTCCCCTCGCCACCACCACTCCCTGCCCCGCCGTTCGCACCCCGGCCTCCCCGCCCCCCACCGGCCGAGCGCTCCAGGAGGCAGCTGTGGAGTTTCACCCGGGCCTCAGGCCGCCGGGTCCAGACTGGAGGCCTTTGCCTGGGCAGCGAAGGAAAATTAAATGTTAAGGAGTTAGTTATTATGAACTACCATGATCACTAAAGTGTTAATTAAGTTAACACTTTATTTAATGCTCCCCCTGTTCGTGGGAGGAAGGGTCTCAGGCTGGAGGGCCTCTTCTCCATTCTTAGGGGAAAAATAGCTCCCTCCCTACGGGGTTTTTGAATGTTACCCCCTCCTGTACATTCCTTCAGAGTCTGCGGACACCCCAGCCCTGAGGGGATTTCAGGGAAAGTTCTCTTCAATCTGGCGACTGTGGAAGCCCATGACGGGGGTGTGGGGGGGACCACAGTCCAGAGAAATCCGGCATGCCCTTTAGAACAGTAGCCCCGGACAGCCGGCGGGAAAACAGGTGGGGAGAGGCCCGCAGAGGATCCAGGGATGGAAACAGGTCTTGGAGGAAGAAGCTGGGGGAGGAAGGCGTGGAGGCGCTGTCCCAGGCGGACCTGCCAGGCAGCCGCACACTTGCACCAACCTCCTCGGACTCGCCTAGCCCAGTGCTAGTTACTTTGGGGAGACATTTTTTCCTAAAGGAAGTAATTTCTCAAAAGCGTCCCTCCGGCAAGTATTTTTAAAACATAGGTAAAGCGAAAGTTGGGCACTGACCACGACTCTTCTTATCATTAATAATCCTAGGATTAGCATTGCAATCATCAGCCTGATCACAACCACCGCCCCGCAGCTCCAGGAAAACTCTCTGGCCTCCCAGCTACCATCCCTGGTTGCAGCCGTGTTTGTGTTTCTTCTTTCCCCTTTTTGCGTTTCCAATTTGTCTCCTCGCACGCTCGCCAACAACTTTCTCTGTTCAATGCAGGAGCCGGGGAGGGAGGCGGCCAAACCTTGCGCGGAGCCCAGAGGCAGCGGTGGCCGCGCTGCCGCCTAGGCCCGCGGTCATCTTTCATTCCCATGCGGGCCTGGGCGCTTAGAGGAGGCCCCAATACATGTAGCGGTGCATGAATAATGCTCATTGTAGGAAACTGACACTTGCTCAAGGAAAAAAAGTTTGACTATAAAATCACTTCATTATTTGCTTTTACCGCAGCCTCGGTGCTAATCCCCTCAGAGGTCAGATTGCTTAGCATCTCTCTCTCCCTCTCCCCTTTCCCCCCTCTCCTCCGCCTTCCTCTCCTTCTCGCCCCTGGCCCCCTTCCCTGTCTTTTCTGCGATTTCAGGCCGCATTTTAGATATCCCCTGTAAAGTGTGCGGGGACCGCAGCTCGGGGAAACACTACGGGGTCTACGCCTGCGACGGCTGCTCGGGGTTTTTCAAACGGAGTATCCGAAGGAATAGGACTTACGTCTGCAAATCTGGAAACCAGGTACCTTAGCCGGGCTGCATGCTCAGCTCCCCTCTGCCGCCTGCCCCTCCTTTGTTTGTGCCCGAGGACGACTCTGCTCAGCAGAGACCAGACCTTGACTTCTCCGGTTCTCTCTCTTTCCAGACCCAACTCTTTGAGGCCCTGTCCCTTGGGCAAGGCAGGGCGGAAGGGGGTGGGGTGGGGGGCACTGTGTTGGGTAAGGGAAGACCCGTGAGTTTGCAGTAGGAAGTCTGAAATCCCAGCGTCCCTCCTCCCCACCCCCAAACACTTTAATCCTCTAACGTTTTGACATTGGGTAAGGCCCTCTCCTAGTGGTGATAAAGCCAGCCCAGGGGACCTAAGGGACTTAAAAATCTAAACCTCAAATGTAACCCGGAGAAAGGGCTAGGTTGTGCTGTCTGTCCGCCACACCCACCCCTAGCAGCGCAGTGCCTTCACCACTGCCTGGCATGGCAGAAGTTAAGGGCACAGGGCATCCTACTCAAGGTTCAGACTCAAAGTGAGTGTTAGCCACTGGAATGGAGAGGATGGGTTCCGTGAAAGGCTGTGCCCTTCAACTTTTCTGAGTCTGGTTGAGCCTTGTCAGAAAAGGGCTGAGTGAGCAGGAAGAGAAGGCTCCCAAGGAAGGAGTAAGGGGACCTTCTCCCAGGTTCCCGTATCTCCTCCTTCTCTGCTTAGAAGATGTGCCTGGTTGGTTGTGTTTTGGTCTTGGGCAGGCTGAACTGTCTCAAAGAAACAGGGGAGTCAGGGCATGGACTGAGTGTGAGCCAAAGCTGCCAGAAAGAGCGACTAGAACCCCCTGCCCCATTTTCCAGCCCAGTAACAGGCTTATTTCAACCTAGGGGATCGGCCTGTTGGTCCCACACTTTGCCCTCTCCTTAGCCAGACACACAGACGCTCCAGCACAGAGCCACCACCTTGACTCCCAAGAAGACCCTGGAGAGTGTATTAGTCAAAAGTCATCCTTTGGTAATCAAACTGGTGAACCATTTTCACTAATTAATATCTATGTATAAATATGACACACATATATACATCCACATATATTGTTTGGTGCTAGTCGATTAATCTTTTTCTGAAGCCATGCCTGCTTATATCAGTTTCTGATAGATTTGGATTATCAACAAAAACAAGAAGACATCTGTATTTGGATAAGTTATTTGGAACTCGCCTGCCCTGTTCTTGTTTTATTGGGTTCACAGCTTTGTATCAGTTTCTGCTTTACCATATGGACACATCACAGTATACACACCCAGCACTGCAGCCGGATAGCTCCACAGGAATGTGGGATTACTGTGGGTTGTCAGATTCCAGCAAGTTTCTACTTACATTGTCTTTTACTTTTATACAACGAACAGAATTGGGGAATCAAAACCTCAGGTGTTAATGGCTTGATATTTTCAAAGGGGTTGGCTATCAACATGCTGATGTCAGTCCAAGTATTTGTAAAGGAGTGATAATAGACTCATCAGCCTTGGTGGTTGTCTCCTTGCAGAGAGAATAAATGCACCGAGCAGAGGCACTCATCCTTCTCCCGGGCTCCAGATATTTATATACATATGATCTGATTTGAAGACATTCTTAAAAACTAATGAAGGCTTCCATTTTGCATTAACGTGTTAACAGAATACATTTGGGGAATAACATTTGATGATAGGCATATGATTGCACTTAATAATAACTTCTTTAAGCCTTTTTACATTAAGCTATTACACTGGCCAGCAAAGATGCCCTGAAGAATTCACTTAGGAACCAAAAAAAATTTTTCCTTTCTCTCTTTTATTCTAAGATTAGGTAAATAATATTCCAACTTATTATTAACAGCAATGAGGACCTTTAGAAATTGTTACACCCCCCAGCCCTACATTTATTTAAATAATTCAACATTTTTAAACCAGAGGGGTGTGATCTTATAAAACTGTGTTTTCTAATGTGTAATTATTCCCAAGGGATATTTTAGAAAATGCACTTACTCTAACTTCAACATATTTAACATTTTGGTATTATGAAGCAAAATAAAAATACATTTACTTTGTTCTCTTTCTTCTCATTGCAAATCTAACAGTAGCAACTCATATAAACACCAGAGAGCACCAAACTTATGTATTTTCTGTGTATAATATATATGTGACTCTTTATATAGCTTTGTATGTGTTTCCTCAGTAATAACACCAAATACTGAATGAATTCTATAAGAAAATTTCTCTGTAAATTTCTCTTTTAATGGCCAACATTTCCCCATAAAAATGCATTAGATAAACTATTTATTTTCTCACATGTCCTTGATAAATATTTCTAAGTCAGCAATTACCTCTTTTTCTCAGTTATCACACTAATATTCTCAACCCATGTTATCATTTTGTCAGACAGTTCATTACATTATCTTCCTGGCTATATTTACACAGAGAGCATTTTTAGATTTTGCCCAGGCCTTGGTCTCTTCCCTTTTCACCCTTTCCTCTGGGGGCCCTGCCCTCCTAACCACTCTGGCTTCTGCCTCAACACTTGAGAATGACTATGTGTCCACGAATCTGAGTTGAGAGGAGGCTTTAATATAACTCTCACCATGCTGCTTATAAGAATGGCTTTCAGTACAAAGGCAAGAGTGAGAAAACAGGAGAGTAGAGAATAAATGATATTTATCTGACAAATAAATGGGCTCACCCAGAAAGTGAAAGAGAGAGGAAGACTAAGACCCTAAGCGGAAAGATAGCTAGCGCGGGAGGGGGACACAGCAGGGATCCTTCCAGGCCAGCCCACTCCAAAAGGGGCGCCCAGGCCTCCTCCTATGGGGCCAGGTCGCTGTCTTCGGTCCTGAAAAAGCCTCGCCCCAGTTTCTCCACTCAAGGAAGTTCCCCCGGGAGCTTCTCCTCCCAGCACAGCAGAGTCTGGCACACCAGGCGCTGTGACCCTTCACCTGCTTGGAGAAGGATTTTCCAACTTGAGCACTTTCATAGAGTCATGAATTGGTCCTCTTGAAGTAGCCCCGGGAACCCCAGCCCTTTCTCTACCTGGCCCTGCTGGGGCCCGAGGACCTCACTGCTTCTTGGACCCAGGTGTAGGTGGCAGATTCTGTTTCCTGGATCCAGCGCCGGCTTTGTGTCACCATCTGAAGGCCCACGGGCCTCTGACGGCCTGCGCTCTCTTCCAGGGAGGCTGCCCTGTGGACAAGACGCACAGAAACCAGTGCAGGGCATGTCGGCTCAAGAAGTGTTTGGAAGTCAACATGAACAAAGATGGTAATCAGAACATCTTTTTACTCTAACAACGTTGATTGATAAGTAAATGATATGTACGGAAAATACATGGCACTCCTAGGCATGTCAACCCTCTCCCCAGCACTTCTTTCTAGAGCAGTGGTTCTCAGCCTTCCTGATGCCGTGACCCTTTAATACAGCTCCTCATGTTGTGGTGACCCCCAACCATAAAATTATTTTCGTTGCTACTTCATAACTGTAATGTTGCTACTGTTATGAATTGTAATGTAAATATCTGATATGCAGGATATATTTTCATTGTTACAAATTGAACCTAATTAAAGCATAGTGACTAATCACAAAAACAATATGTAATTATATATATATATGTGTTTTCCGATGGTCTTAGGTGCCCCTGTGAAAGGGTTGTTTGACCCCCAAAGGGGTCGCGACCCACAGGTTGAGAACCACTGTTCTAGATGCTGGGAATTGGCCTCAGGCTTTCAGTCATATCCTTCCTGATCTCTTAGCATGAGCCCCATCCCCCGAACCCTTGAACTTCCTAGAGCAAGGCCCATGCCCACATTGGAAACCTGTGCTCCACAGTCACCCCCAAGAAGGCAGCGTTCCTGGGAACCCCACTCTGCTGAGGATACGCGGTATTTTCTGCCTCTCTTCTTAATTACTCAGTTCAAACCTCCTTGCAGCCCTTTTGTGGCTACTCCCAAACCTGTTAGCCTCCTGCAGGATCTCACAGTCTGGATAGTCTTTGGGGGAGGAGGAAATCAGGGACTAGGAGACCGATGTGTGGGAGGAGGGAGGACAGAGACAGGAGCACAGGGAATTTTGAGTTCCTATTTGCAAATTCAACAGGATTCCAAATTCGGCACCGCCAGCGTGGTGATCTGGGCTTCTCCAGGCTTTCCCTTGGTTTAACAGAAAGGGGCTGGAGAGGTTGGGTGAGGCCTGTGGGTGTCTCAGACACCAATCCCCAGAAGGCTCTTAAACATGCACAGCAAGAACTAGGATTCTGGATGCCAGGTGGTGGCCTGGCAAGGGTGCCCCAGGCCGGGGCAAAGCAGGGTGGGGTGGTGGGGTGGTGGGGTGGCAGGGTAGTCATGGCCTGGAGGGAGGAATGGGGCCTCAGCACCGGGTGTGGAGTGGGCTTTGCGTTGGCGGCTCAGGAGGCAGCCACAGCAGCTCATTTGGGAGAGCGCTTTCCTCCCCCTCTTCCCTCCCCCCCTCGCCCTGGGGGCAGCAGGAGAGTGCGTCCAACCTGATGAACTTGTGTATTGACAAGTTGTCAAGTTAGGCGAAAGGAAGATTGCCCTGCATTAATTTGTTTGTTTAAGCTGTTGGTGGTAATTGTCACATCTCCCTGCCTTCCTCCAGCGCACTCCGAGGTGGGCTCTCCCTGTCCCATCCCCCTGGGACCCTGGGCTCAGGGCCTTGCGTCTGTGGCCCTCTCTGACTTTTCTGGGTGGGCGGGGGTGGGGAGGGTGGCGGTGGGGAGGCCATTCTAGGGCCAAGCGGGAAAGTCTGTGCAGAGACTAGTTGCAGGGAAGGGGGAACGTGGATGCCTAGCTATCCCCTCCCAGGGGCTTCTCACCGGCAGAGAAAGCCTAGTCTTGCTGGAGGCACGTCATTAACCTGAGACTTTGGGCCCGGCTCCTCTAACGCATACAGAGCGCCCTCCGCCCCCACATCCCGGTGACCTTGCCTGCCCTGCCGTGGCGCGTGGCCCTGCAGCGCAGCAGTGGCCGTGTGTCTCCCAGACTCTGACCCCGGCCTGTGTCCGTCTGTCTCTGCAGCCGTGCAGCACGAGCGGGGCCCTCGGACGTCCACCATCCGCAAGCAGGTGGCCCTCTACTTCCGCGGACACAAGGAGGAGAACGGGGCGGCCGCGCACTTCCCCTCGGCGGCGCTGCCCGCCCCGGCCTTCTTCACCACCGTCACGCAGCTGGAGCCGCACGGCCTGGAGCTGGCCACGGTGTCCGCCACGCCCGAGCGGCAGGCCCTCGTGAGCCTGGCTCAGCCCACGCCCAAGGTCAGGGGCCTTGCTCGGAGTCCCGGGAAGCGTGGAGGGAGGAGACAGGGGCACCACTTCCTTCTGCACTGGAGCGGGGACAGGCAGGCCAAAGATGGGGCGACCTCGCAGGATACCGGCAGAGCCCTGCAGGGGGCTCTGGGCCTTTTTGCTCTTCTCCGTGGAGCCAGGGTTGCTCACACTTGAGTGTGCAGTACAGTCACTCTCTGAGTTGCTACGGATGTGGACTCCCTGCAGGCCCCCCCCCCCCCCAGAGGCCCTTTCAGCCCGTTTGATGTAGGGCGCGGGAGGGAGGCTGCACCTTTGGAGACGGCCCTGGTGCGGAGCCCCCAGTCCGAGCGAGCTGAACAGGCCGCCTAGGGAGTCCCCTGCAGGTCAGAAGAGTGGACATTTGTTTTGAGAAGGAGAAGGAGAGTCCTTGAGTTGCAAATATCAGGGGTCTCTTCTCTTGGGCAAAGCGGTGGGTCTCTAACCTAAGAGAGGAATGTGGAACTCACCAGGTTGGACAATTTGGGGAACCTGACATTTGCCAGTCCCCTCTCACTCTCCTCTGAGCCTCCTGGATTGATCTACACCAGGCCCTCTACTGGCAGGGACACAGCCTGAACCACCTCAAAAGGCTGCCACCTAGGGACTACCCTTCAGGCGTCCAGCTGGTACCTACCCACAGCTCCCACTCCAGGCCAAGAAGGGATCTGGGTTTCCCCCAGAGGAGGGCCAGCTGCAGCCCCACACGGCAGGGAAGCAGACACCTGGGCACACACGCACGCACGCACAGTATTTAATATTGCTTCCTTAGCCTTGATGTGTATAATAGGCTTGGGAAAGTAGTGTTATGAATATGTTGTCAGTTATGAATGGGAATGCTCCGTGAATGATTAAGATGTCTAATTGAAATATTTCCATAATATACTAATCCTTTCTAAAAATACTCACATGCATATTTGTGTTTGGGATGCCTATTAATTTGTACTTTTTTCACATCTATTTTTATGTACACAAATGTGAGCAGCTCTTATCTAAATTGGGAGACAGGCCTGGCACTTGGCTCAGCCCAAGGAAAATTTGCTGTAGGGGATAAAAAGCCAGATGCCCCTCTGGAAGGAACAGGCCCACAGAGTGGAAATGGGTCTCTCCCAACAATTTCCCGAACTCTATAGATAGGATGTTTGGTTTTTATGTCCGTATGGCAACTGCCCATTTAAGCAGAACATCCAAGTTCCTATCTCCTTCTCTGTTCTAATTAGAAAACTAAAAAGTTGGCTCTCCTTGCAAAGCTGTGGTTTCCTCACTCCCTGGTCTCTCTGTTTCTCCCCACCCAGTACCCCCATGAAGTGAATGGGGCCCCCATGTATCTCTATGAAGTGGCCACAGAGTCAGTGTGTGAATCCGCTGCCAGGCTTCTCTTTATGAGCATCAAGTGGGCGAAGAGCGTACCAGCTTTCTCCACCCTGTCTTTGCAAGACCAGGTATGACCAAGAGGGCCAGAGGTCTTGAGGGAAGGGAGCTGGGAAGAAGCAACAGGAGTCAGCCTTATGGAACTGTAGGTTACCTGGATAAATCGCCAAGGTCAGGCATCAGTTATACATATATAATTGATTTCAGAGAGGAAGGGAGAGAGATAGATAGAAACATCAATGATGAGAGAGAATCATTGATTGGCTGCCTTCTGCACACCCCCTACTTGAGGAGATCAAGCCCGCAACCTGGGCATGTGCCCTTGGCCAGAATCGAACCTGGGACCCTTTAGTCTGCAGGCTCTATCCTCTATGAGCAAAACCAGCTAGGGCAAGGCATCAGTTCTTAATAGCAACGAGGAATCTATCTTTATTAGCTTCTTTCTATGGGTTTAGAATATCTAGGGACGGACCTTACTAAGAAATGTAATTATCTTGTTTTGGGAACTTCGGATCTGGTTTACGAAAAACAAGCAAACAAGGGCATTATTTTATTTTATTTTTTTAGTTTAATTGAAACTTCAAATTTAACCACAAATTTTTAAAGACTTTTTTAAAATTGTTAAAAAACAGTGCTTTTTTAGAACACTGGAACTGAGAGAAATAGAAGAGTATTCTCCTCTTAAGATTTTTGGAGGTAGTCTCACTGTTCTATATGCAGAGCTATATGTTTTCCATCATGATAGCGTTGGGGCCAGTAATTTATCAGCATATAAGATTAAAGGGTGTGTTGCAGGCTAAGTTCTCTCTAGATTCTTTAAGTCTTTTAGAGACTTTGTAAACAAATGGGCATTGTGCATAATTCTGTGGTTGTAAATGATATTCTGAGGCAATAAAAGTTTGTGCTGCTAAAAACTGTGTTGTACCAAAACCCAGAAATTTTGTTGTTAAGAACATCAGAAATGGCCTCTGACAGAATTTTTCTAAACTTAAGGGAAAGGAAGAGCATGAAGTGTTCACAACCTTGACTGTTACCAGTGCATTCTTGGGAATTAATGACAAATTTCCCCAAAGGCTAATAAGTAGTTCTAAAAGCAAAGGGTTTGTTTCTTTAATTCATCTTATACCTAATTAAAGAATAATAGGGCCCCTTAATATAAAGTACATTTCCTACAGAAAGACCTGGGATTGTGCTAAAAACATCTAATCTTCTAGCATGGAATGTTCTTTTTTTCATGGCCTGGACTTTCAGACATGGCCAGAATTAGATACTGTTTACCTTGCATTTTTTAAGTATTCTTTTTTGTACTTAATGTAATAAAAATAAAGTATTTTGAAAATTCAATCTTTTGATTTTGGTTACAAGCCTTCACAATTTAGCTCTTAGCTTCTGAAAGGAAATCCTTCCATATAAATCATCCAGAATTGGTTGAATTTTTATAGATTTTTCAAAAAACAGATTTTTCAAGATGGTTAAGTTCTATCTTTGACCAGGTTAACTGGTTGGCTCTGATCATTTGCTGTGTGTGTGTGTGTGTGTGTGTGTGTGTGTGAATTGGCTATTTTTTTTTTCTCAAAACAAGTATTTGTAGACTCTTTAATTCAAACAAAATTTATTTACGGTCTGCTACTCAACCCTTCGATGGAAACCCTTCAACAACTAGCAAACTGCAGTGAAGTGGAATCCAGTATATTCATTTGGAAAAGGAGCCAGATTTTCATTTTAAATATTCAGAAGCACATTTTATTAGAATGAAAATGACAAGCACCTTGATGCTGTCCACTTATGAGTCTCAGAAAAATCAGTCAGTGAGATGAGGTAAACTCAGTAAAGCCCGATTAACATAATTACACCCTGATTTCCCTGCATGCCTCTTGGGAATTAGTGAGATCTCTCTCCCTCTCTCTGCCCAGCCCCCTATACCCACCAGGATGATGGGGCCCAGATCTGCAAGCTTACTCTGGAATCTTCAATCTGATAATATCAGCATTTTATAGGCGGGGTACCCACCTGCTGAGCGGCTGGTGGCATTTCATTGAGCCTGGGTCTCAGGGAGAAGTTTTAGGTGGTCAGAAACAAATAGATGGGAGGACCAGAAGGGTAAACCAAGGGAAGCAAATTTGGGGAGCTTAGAATGGCTGACTCTCAAATGCCTGTGCTTATCTATAGGCACCTTTTGAAAAAGAAAAACAAGGGAAAGATAAAATATTCAGAGGAAAAATTACCAAGACAAGCATTTAAAACACTTTTTAAAATAATGGAAATTTACATATTGAAATTGTTTATAAATTTATAAATTACACACTATATTATATTATACATCTATTGTATGACAGCTGATGCTTTTGGAAGATGCTTGGAGAGAACTGTTTGTTCTAGGAATAGCACAATGGGCCATTCCGGTTGATGCTAACACTCTACTGGCTGTATCTGGTAAGAATTGCACAATTTAATGACTTTGTTGTAGAAATTACCATAAAAATACATTACTGAAAAAAGAACAACATGTAAAGAATAACAAATTCCCACTGAACAATAGAGTATACCTGTCATTTATAAATCTATATTTAAATGCAAATAATGTTGTTTTGTTGTATTCATGACTGCTTGCATTGTTATTTAAATGCAAATTACTGTGTTTGTTATCATCCAAGAGACGATTTTATATTAACTTTCATACAATATAGCCAGTGTACATGGAATCAGATATCTTAGACTGACAATTGAATAGATATTGATATGCAGGATTTTGTCAAAAATCAATATTAAATTATGAAAATGCCTTCATATGATAGCATTTATTCCATGTTTTAATTCTAGGCATGAATGGTGACAACACAGATTCCCAGAAGCTGAACAAGATTATATCTGAAATACAGGCTTTACAAGAGGTGGTGGCTCGGTTTAGACAACTCCGGTTAGATGCTACTGAATTTGCCTGTCTGAAATGCATCGTCACTTTCAAAGCTGGTAAGTAGACACAAACCCCTGCCTCTTCTCCTTCCCCACTTTTGCCACATCACTAATTCAGCCACCTCAAATTCCAGATTTACCTTTGCAAAAACAAGTGATAGTTTTGAAGGGTGCTGAGACTTAGTCTGGCCTCATTTTGATAGCCATGGGGACTTGTGCGTTTTCCTGCTGGCTATTCACTTCGGGGAGGAGATTTCCCATCTGCATTTCCTGTGCTGTCTATCACCGTTTCCTGGTCTTCATTTCTAGTTCCTACACACAGTGGTCCTGAACTGAGAAGTTTCCGGAATGCTGCTGCCATTGCAGCTCTTCAAGACGAGGCTCAGCTAACTCTCAACAGCTACATCCACACCAGGTGACTCTTGCTTGCCCTGAAGGTGTCCTTAAGAATGTTGTTCCCGTTGTGAATGTGTGAGCAGGGGTCACTCAGCCAGTTCACATTTCCTGACTAATTATTCTGTTGCCAGCCAATAAAGTTACTTAGAATTATGTGCTCACCTATATCACATGGTGCGTGAGAGGAGCAAATAAAATTAGATTAGCAATTAGATTGCCAGATGCCTTGCAGCTGACCTGGTTGAACAAGTTATTCCATCATGATAGTTGAACACATTTGTATGAATGGACCCAGATACAAATGGGAAAGGTAAAAACAAAGGCCACGTGTTATAGTTGATATAGTAGAGAGTAGTGAAGTCATCCTTTAAAAAAAGGCAAGTGCCTCTCTTTGGATGCCAATCCCAAATAGAAGGACCAGAGAACTTTCTAGAGAGACCATCTGTACCCCCATCATAACTGCTGATGGATATCTGTTGAGTTACTTGGAATCATTGCACGCACCAGGCTATGTCTGGCCAACCAGGGCCCATTGGCAGAGGCCGCTCTTGTCTATTTGTAGAAACTCTCAGTCACAGGGGCTTCAGCAGGCCTCCTCCTGGCCCACCGATGGGCAAGTCCTCCAGGAGGTATAGACCTTTCTGCTTCCATTTTCAGAGGGAAAAAGCAAGACTTTAAAGAGCTGTGGAGCTGGCCAGGCCTGTGGTGGACGTGAGGTTAGAACAGAGTTGCTATTCTTGTTTATCCTCTAGGCTGGCCTTTTTATTTATTTATTTATTTATTTATTTATTTATTTATTTGCGGTTATGAGAGCCAAATGATTGCTATGGAGAGAGAATGGGAATTTTAGGGCTGGAGGGAGGAAAGAGGCAAAGAGAGAGAGAACGAGAAAGCTGGTCTTAAAGGGAAGCCCATGGAAGCCTGTCTCTATCATCCCAATGTCACCACAGACACTGTGCTGGAATAACTTAATCAGATGAAGGGAGACTGGTAATGCCTCCCTTATACTGTATCCATTTGGAATAATACCACTTCTGCTAGGATCTTCTTATTTTTATTACAAATCCTCTTTTGAATTCTATTGAATAAAACTGTTCCCTGTCCATGGAATATCATTGAAACTGTGTTGTGTGCTGGTGCAATGTGTATATGTTTTTCTAAATTAAAGTGCCATGATTTCTAAATTTAAAATCCACGTTAAATTTCAATATGTATATAATAGGCACTGAATATTTATTCAAAATTATTGAATGAAGCAGTACATAATTTCCCCACTAAAAATTAATCTGTATATTAGAACTGACCTCTGACATTTAGAACCATTAAGGTTTAAAGAACATCAAACCAAGAAGAATATGATTTCAGTCCAGCCTTCGCTGGTGAGCACTGTGGGACACCAGAGAACAAGACACTGTCCCTTATTGGTGCATGAAGTAGGTAGAAGTATTACTCCAATTCAGACCAGAGAAGAGAGAAAAGCAAAGTGGGGAGTGGGAGAGACAAATTCTAGTTGGGGGAGGCGGGGTGAGGGAGAATCTGGAAAGGCTGATTGATGGAGGGGACCACACAGGAGCTGGTGTCCTTGAATGGCAGGGAGGGAGGGTGCTCCTTAGAGCTGGTAGAGGGGCTGGTAGAGGGAGGTGCCGGAAAGGTGATTGAGGAGAATCTGAGAGAGAGAAAGCCTGAGGAAATTAAGCCACAAAGTAACAAAAGTCTATTTTAAAGAAATGGCAAGTATACTACTTCTCCCTCACCCTCAAAACAAGGAAATTATTCATGGAAGGAAGTCATCTGCTTTGACATGGAATTCTTGTTTCATGATATCTGCCACAGCTATAATTTAATATATTAAGATCTAGACTCATGCATGTGACAAAACTGACTATGCCTTATTTCTTAGCTCCTTCACATCAGGATCATTCTCCTCTAGCACTTTCCTGTCTAGAAAAATAAAATCTGAAATCAAAATGAAAAGTTAACACAGTGGAAACTAATAGGCAACACTGCAAACGGCGCTCACTGTTATAGCCGTGTGAGCTATTTCTCTATCTGTTATATAAGGAGAAGGCCTGGAATTGGCGTTCCACACAAACCACATGTTATCACGGAAGATCAAATACATGGATCTCTGACAGGCTCAAAACACGTACCCCTGAGTAAAAACTTCCAGTTATTTTTACTAATGGATGACACCAGGGTCATAGCTATCCTAAAATAATAATTTTGAGCAGTCAGACACATGCTCTCTCTGTGTCTCTCTCACACACGCACATATACACATATACACACTTTGTTATTATTTCTCGGTAGTACCATACTTCACATATAACAGACAATTCTTGTTGACTGACTAACCGACCCCTTCTTAACTAGAGAATAAAATACGTGGGTGAGAAGGTGAATGTATTATTTATTTACCAAAAATCAAGAATTGTCTATGGATTCTCCAAAATCCATCCTTTTTCTTTTCTTTTTCTTTTTTTTAAATATATTTTATTGATTTTTTACAGAGAGAAAGGGAGAGAGATAGAGAGTTAGAAACATCAATCAGCTGCCTCCTGCACATCTCCCACCGGGGATGTGCCCGCAACCCATGTACATGCCCTTGACCGGAATTGAACCTGGGACCCTTCAGTCCGCAGGCAGACGCTCTATCCACTGAGCCAAACTGGTTTCGGCTCCATCCTTTTTCAAAGTAATCACTTCCCCCAGTGGTTCCTCACACTGGAACCTTTTAGCCCAGCAGTTCTCAACCTATGGGTCGCGACCCTTTGGGGGTCGAACGACCCTTTCACAGGGGTCGCCTAAGACCATCCTGCATATCAGATATTAACATTACGATTCATAACAGTAGCAACATTACAGTTATGAAGTAGCAACGAAAATAATTTTATGGTTGGGGGTCACAACATGAGGAACTGTATTTAAAGGGCCAGAAGGTTGAGAACCACTGTTCTAGCCCATTAGGTCAATGCAGCAGACGTGGTAGAGGCTCAGCTGTGTCCCACCCATTGCAGGCTTCTCTCTCCTCTGCCCGATCCTGGGATGGGAAACAAAGCTATTGACAAGAGTAAGTGGCCAAGGCGAAAGGGAGACCTGGGTCTTGGGATTTCTTTCCAGGAAACGTAGGAGAAGCTTTTAGCAAGGAGAGCAAGGGGTGGGATTTAGGCCTTTAAGAAAATGCAGATAAGCTTCACCATTTCCATACTGTATTAGTCAGTGTGGGGTGGTGATCCCCATCCATGGGTGCCCAGGAAGCTGGGTAGTCAAAGAACCAAGTGAGGCTCTCAGAGGCCCAGACTGAATTATCAGCCTCGTATCAGGTTGAAGAGAGGGACTTTCACGTCTCAAAGCCAGGAGACAAGAGGGACTGTTGCTGTCCTGGATTTTATTTGCAGGGTGGGGTTATTGGGCAGTTAAACTCAGTGTTCAGCCACCTGACTCTTGGGAAGGAATTTTGATGTCCGTCAGTTCCTAGCACTTTGTGGCTATTGGTGGAGCCTGGCTCAGTCACAGGTATGTGACCCCAGACCTCAGTCTTTTAGGTGGTTTGTTTCAGTGGAAGGAGCCCTCCCTGGGGAGTGTATGGATACCTGATTCCAAGCAACTGACTAAAGAAGCATCAGGGCTACCGTGAGGAGGTGGCTTATAGGCATCTGAAGGCAGTAGGAAATGAAGCGTGCACATCTGAACACAGATGTATGTTGGACATTAAGAGAGGAAATTGTTAAGCAATTTCCCACATCTTTAATTATATGTCAATTTCATTGACATGAAAGTTGGGTGGCACTGCCACCCAACAGAACTTAGCCTTCAATTTGCAGTGTAATAAGGATGGAATTATTCCTGAAAGTGACTAAGTATAATGCCTGAATAATAATTTGGAGAATTTCCTAGGAAAGGAATCCATTTTATTTGAGGGAAATTGCCTTGCAAAGGAAGAAACCTTGACAATCAGAAAACATGGATACTACCGCTAGCTACTGCACTAGCACCCTTATACTTATTGACTAGCCTAAACTTAGTACCTTGTTTCTTCATTTTTTTCCCCATCCAAACCAAATGCAACCCCTTTGCTAATGTCGAGACAGGCACCATGTGATTGTGACACTGTGTGTTCTCCAGGCCTGGACACTTCTGGCTGTAGAACCAGGACCGTAGTAGGGCCCGAGTCCCAGACTCGGCTGCAGGGGCAGTGTGTTATTCATGAGGCCCAGTCAGGAAACTATGCTGGAGATGGTGTGTGCTGAAGTATGAGCTGTTAATTCCCAGCGGTAATGGATCTGACCTTGCTTTCACGGCTCCTCCTGTTCCAGATATCCCACCCAACCCTGTCGCTTTGGAAAGCTCCTGTTGCTTTTGCCAGCTTTACGTTCTATTAGCCCATCGACCATAGAAGAAGTGTTTTTCAAAAAAACCATCGGCAATGTGCCAATTACAAGACTGCTTTCAGATATGTACAAATCCAGCGATATCTAAGCTCTTCAAGTTCCCACTTTCCAGTATGGGATAGTCTCTGATGAACTTCCATCCACGGAGAACACGCTTCAACTAACCAACCCTTCGGGAAGCATATATCTGGGGGTGTGGAGCCTTCCGGAGAAAACATCCATGGACACAACAGTTCCAGTAGCTTTGACCTGCTGCTGCCTCATCCAGGGCAGGGCAGCCCAGAAGGGCCGCCTGAGCAGAGAACTCGCTGCTGCCATGCCCTGGGAGGGCACACATGGAGGGTTGCCACTGGCCGTGCCACTCTGCCTCTCACCTGGAAGATCCGTCTGAACCATCAAACACTGAAACACGAGTAGAACTTCCTTTTCGTTTTTAGTGTATAAAGTTGGGTAACCAAATAGAGCTCTGTGTAACACCATGCAGCAGCCTTGAGAACTATCTTATGAACTAGACTTTCTTGTAAAAACAATGGTTAGGTTTAAAATAAAAAGTTTTATCAAAATTTTCCCATCTATTGTAATACATCATTAAGTGGCCTTCAGAACTGAGTTAATAAGTGAAAGGTAGATTATGCCGTGAGATTTGCTTTTTCTCTATCTTTTTTTTCCTTTCTCTTTCTTTTCTTCTTCTTTTTAATACCATAGGCCAGGCAACCTTGTCGAGGGATTGGTGGACGAAAATGAAATTCTCACCAGAACTTCGGTTTGGATAACATCTCAAAAATAGAAGAGCTTTACTAACAGAACAAAAGTCGAGGGAGGAAGACTAAAAACAGCAAAACCAAATAGGAGGTGAAGGATTGAGGCAGATTGCTGTCCCATTAAAATAGTGCTGAAACCAAAGGCAATGAGGGTCCAAGCGCATGTTTCAGTGAGTCACATCAGACAGGAAACCAACACAGATGTGATATTGAATGGAACTTCAAAGAGATGAGCACTAAGAGGTTTCTCGATTGATCCACTGCTAACAGCCTGCGACTCTTAAATGCCTTTCAGAAAACTGGTTTCTAGTAAAGCCTTGAATGTGTGTGTGCATGCACACATACACACACCACCACCACCACCACCACCACCACACACCCCATTCTACATTGTAAGCTGCTCCTTTGGTATGAAACTATACTTATGAAGATGTAGAAACAAACATTTTAAAATAGCTGCTGTACTTTTCACATTTTGATTTAGTAGTTTCTAGCACTGAGGAAAACTATTCAGCACTTGGACTATCATAGGTTGAGTAAAACTTTTCTTGTACAAAGTGAATTAACTGATTTGTGAAGTTAAAAGGTTGTACTTCATTGTATTTACAAAGAATAAAAATATATTGAATCTAAATGAATTTGAACTCTGCCTGGTTTCTTAGCCTCCTTCCCTGGCTGGTTCTCACCCACCAGATACAAGGTGGTGGCAGCAGCTGGTGTAAAAACTGAAGCTCAGAGCACTCCAGCCTGAAGGACTGAACTACAAAGGCAATTTCCTTTTTACAGTGAAACCCATTTGTAAAGTGATGAATAAAGAAATAAAACAAGATTCCATTCTCTGCAGCTCTCAAATATAATTGCATCTGTTAGGAAAATTGCTGTGTGAGGAAGAAAGAGGACGATTAACAGAGTCTTCACTCACTTAGTCCTCTGTTTCTAACTCTCTTGCCAACATCTCAATCCTAACCAGGAACTTAAAATCATTTAATGATCAAAAGATAAAGTGTGAAGAACTTTCTTGGGGAGTAAGATGCAGAAGGAGCAGTAGGAAGTGCATTCAGATGTTACCAGGATATCTCAGGGCACTGGCCCCACAGCCAGAGGTTGGTAGTGGAAGTCAGAAGTGCCAAGGCCACGGACACTGTGGGTTCCTCCTGGGGAGCAGCTCCAGCGAGAGTCTGGAGCAGAGGCACGAGCAACTGTTGGCTAAACTGACCTTGCAGAGTGCATGTGTGTCAGCCATGTACCTCTCATCTACTGATTCCACAGAGAAGTTAGTCTTAACGAAAAGCCGGGAACTCAAAGATGTGTGCAAGAATGTTCCTTGCAATACTATTCATATTTAACCACTAAATGCCCACCAACGGAGAAGAGATAGATTGCAGTATATATAGACAGTGTTACAGTAGTTAAAGTGAATAGACTAGAGCCAACATGTCAACAGGGGTAAATCTAAAATACAGTGTTTTGGTTGGGTGAGAAGTGAATTGCAGAGGATACATGCAGCTTGATATTTCTGTAAATAGATCATGTTTATCTATAATAATAAAAGCGTAACATGCTAATTAGACCAGACATCCTTCTGGATGACCTTCTGGATGAAGCGCAGGTTGCGAGGGAAGCCTGGGTCCCGGTGCCAGAGGTTAGCAGGTGCCGGCAGCTGGGGGAAGGAAGGCCTACTCTTGCACTAGTTTCGTGCATCGGGCCTCTAGTAGATATATAAATATATAGCAAATGTTTAAAACGAACATGAGTATAACACTAACTGCATGAGAGTGGTTACCTCTGGGGATGGGTGGGATTGGGGAAGGGTACCAAGAGAACCCTCAAATGTTTCTTTTTTTTTTTTTAATTAAATCTTTATTGTTCAGATTACATTTGTTCCTCTTTTTTCCCCCCCCATAACTCCCCTCCTCCCAGTTCCCGCCCCACCCTCCGCCCTCACTCCCCACCCACTGTCCTCATCCATAGGTGCACGATTTTTGTCCAGTCTCTTCCCGCATCTCCCACACCCCTTCCCCCCCCAAGAATAGTCAGTCCCTTCCCTTTCTATGTCCCTGATTCTATTATAATCACCAGTTAATTCTGTTCATCAGATTATTTATTCACTTGATTCTTAGATTCACTTGTTGATAGATGCATATTTGTTGTTCATAATTTGTATCTTTACCTTTTTCTTCTTCCTCTTCTTAAAGGATACCTTTCAGCATTTCATATAATCCTGGTTTGGTGGTGATGAACTCCTTTAGCTTTTCCTTATCTGTGAAGCTCTTTATCTGACCTTCAATTCTGAATGATAGCTTTGCTGGATAAAGTAATCTTGGTTGTAGGTTCTTGCTATTCATCACTTTGAATATTTCTTGCCACTCCCTTCTGGCCTGCACAGTTTCTGTTGAGAAATCAGCTGACATTCATATGGGTACTCCCTTGTAGGTAACTGAGTTTCTTTCTCTTGCTGTTTTTAAGATTCTCTCTTTATCTTTTGCTCTTGGCATTTTAATTATGATGTGTCTTGGTGTGGTCCTCTTTGGATTCCTTTTGTTTGGGGTTCTCCGCGCTTCTTGGACCTGTAAGTCCATTTCTTTCACCAGGTGGGGGAAGTTTTCTGTCATTATTTCTTCAAATAGGTTTCCAATATCTTGCTCTCTCTCATCTTCTGGAACCCCTATAATTCTGATGTTGGTACGCTTGAAGCTGTCCCAGAGGCTCCTTACACTATGCTTGCATTTTTGGATTCTTTTTTCATTTTGCTTTTCCGGTTGGGTGTTTTTTGCTTCCTCGCATTTCAAATCATTGACTTGATTCTTGCGCTCCTCTGGTCTGCTGTCGGGAGTCTGTATAATATTCGTTATTTCAGTCCGTGTATGCTTAATCTCTAGTTGGTTCCCCAATATAAGATCGAGGGTCTCATTAGTTTTCTTGTAGATCTCATTAAGTTTATCGGCGGCTTCTAAACAGTTCTTAAGAGACCTTAAAAGTGTGGTTCTGAACTCTATATCTTCCATTGACAATTTTGTCCTGTTTCTTTGTCTCCGCATTTTGTTATGCTTCCTTGGTGCACCCCCTAGTGGTCTTTGTTCGCAGTCTTATAGTTAAATCTTGATTGTTGTAGCTAATTCCAGGGAGGGTTTGACCTCCAGGCCAAGTGGCTATGAGAATCAGCTGTGTCAGCAGTGAGAGAACTTCTGTCCTCTAGGGAGGTGCTAATCTAGCCTTTGCCTGAGGCTATCCGGCAAATGCCTCTGTGCAGGGCTTGGGCGGGGCGGGTCGCACAGGATCAACAGAGTGGGCCGGAGAGAGCAGTTATGGCGGCTCTCAGTCCTGTCCCCAGGGGCTCTGCCTCTCTGAGTCCCAGCACCCGCTGCAAAGCTCAGAGAGAAAGCTGCACTTGCTCTGACCGAAGCCAGACAGTCCCGCTTCTCCCGTTTGAGTCTGGGTCCCTAAAGACTCGCCCGTATCTGGAGCTCAGAGTCTACGACTCCCTCCCGATTGAAAACGCCAACCGCGCCCTCCGCCGCCAGCCCGCTCGCGCACTCCGCACCTCAGAATTTGACTTCAGCACTGTGCCTCCTCTGAGTGTATGCGTTTCTCTTTCCTCCTAGTTGTAGGACTTCCACTCAGCCAGCGTTCCTGTGGTTCTGGGTGATGTCCCTTCCGTTTTTTGGTTTCACTTTTGAAGTAGTTGTTCAAGGCACCAAACTCCGGCGTTAACCTATGCCGCCATCTTGGTTCTCCCCCTCAAATGTTTCTGAAATGGCTTATTTTATAAGATAGTAAAAGACCAGAAACACAAATGAGATCAATGACAAGATTTGGTAAAGCTGAGTGATGGATCCAAGGCTGTTCACCCATGTATTAGTCAAGTTTTGCTTCAACGTGCTGGAAATGCAACAACAAATTTGTATTTCTTGCTTACGGGAGTCTCCAGAGTCTCAGCCGGGCCTGACTCCAGGTTGCGGTTTGGGTTCAAGTGTGCTCCAGTGTTTTGTCATTCTTGACTGACAGCTTCCCTAAAGCAACATCTGTGCCTGCCAGAATGCAGAAGTGCAAGAGGCCGAGCCAATCCAGGCACACTCATTTAAAGCTTCTGTTTATGTCACACTGGTCACTTTCCACTGGCCAACGCCAGATACTGGCCAAACCAACCTCAAGTGGGCAGGGGACGTGGACTCCTCTCATGAAGGAGGGGAAGGGGGACTACCACTGACCTATAATGAAATTTGTCAAATCATAATCCACTTCCATCTATTTTAAATATTCTTAGCAAAATTAAAAGGGAGTAAGCTTCCTGGGACACACCACAAATACTGGTTCTCACTGGAGTTGCCTTTTCTTTGGGCACCTCAGCCATTACAAATAAGAATCAAGCATGGCCTGCATTTGAAAAACCCAGAATTAAAAGCCCAATAGCTGTCTCTCCTGAGATTTGGGAGTTTCTGCCGGATGCAGCCTGGGTATTTTAAGAACCTCACTGCTTGCCTGGATGTTAAGGCCGGTATGGTGGGGGTGCCACAGTGGTCTTTGAATATATAACTTCAAGATATACAGTGCCAATGTATGCAACTTGATTATACAAACAAGAGGAGCTGAACCCAGCCAAGGGATTACTGTGGTCAAAAACCAGTCATTAGTGCTTCTCCTTGGACAAATGGTTTTCCCAAGTCTGGAAGAATTGCTTTTCAAAGGTATCATTTACATCCTGGCACAACTAGGGATGGAGTCTTACATTTGTTTTCAGTTACTTTTTAGTTATTCTTTGATGCTAGGGAAGAAAAGGAACAGAGGATGAGTTCAGAAACTGAATTGAGACTCCCAGATTATTTCATTTCGAGTTCAAAGTTTATAATCCACTTTAGGAATCCAAGAACTGAACCCATTGGCCAGAGACCTCCTCTGTGGCTGCCATTCTTCATCATTTATATAAAAATGAAAAGCTTCTATTTTTCTGCAAGTTATTTTCATGTGTTAGTGTCTCTCCTGGTAGTACATATGACCATGACTCGTTCTTTTTAACGTCTCCCTAGTATTTCATGTTATGGATGACCTACAGTGTACTCAACTAATTCCTTATTGATAGATTGAGGTTGCTTGCAGTGTTTCACTAATAAATTAAACTGTAAAGAACCACCCTTCAGTACACACTTCTGTGGTCTTGAGAGGGTATTTGCATTTCTGTGTCACAGATTATATGCATTTTTTAATTTTTAAAAAATATGTCTTTTTTAAAAAATATATATTTTATTGGTTTTTTACAGAGAGGAAGGGAGAGAGATAGAGAGTTAGAAACATCGATGAGAGAGAAACATCGATCAGCTGCCTCCTACACACCCCCTCCTGGGGTTGTGCCCGCAACCCAGGTACATGCCCTTGACCAGAATCGAACCTGGGACCCTTCAGTCCGCAAGCCGACGCTCTATCCACTGAGCCAAACCGGTTTCGGCTAAAAAATATGTCTTTATCGATTTTCAGAAAGAGAGAGGGAGAGATGGAAACACTGATGAAAGAGAAACATCAATCGGCTGCCTCCTGCATGGCCCCCACCAGGGATACAGCCGGCA